AAATCAATTAGATCTAAGCAAATAATATTTTTAGTAAATATCGTTTGCTTTTGATGACTTTCTAAAGCCTTTAAAAAGTTAGCATAGTAAGGATAACTTAAAAAGTTTTGAATCAAATTTAATATAACTATTTTTATGAAGAATAAATACTGCTGAATTAAGGAGGGGGGTCGCAATTTTAGGGGCCCAAAAACACATTTAAGCACCTTTTTTTTATTTTGTCATTTTTTACGCTGTGGCACACAAAAAAGGCCTCCAAAAAAAATTAGCGCCGGGCCCCGAAAATTTTTAATCCGCCACTGATAAGTATGAATGTTTTTGATGTCGTTTTTCTTTATAAAATAAGTAATTCTTACTTCAGCGTCATAGTTTTTTTTTGAGTCCTGTGGAATGTCACTTTTTTCAAAAGTTTTGAACAGTCGATAAATCAGAATGATCTGACATATGAATGAAATTTTTTTTTTAACAACTATTCGGAATAAACAATTTGTAGATTTTTCAATGCAATCAGTAAAAAATCTCTTCTAAAATCAATCAGGGACATTCATTATAACAATTGTGTGTTTGATAATGCAATTACAACTAACTTGCACTTAACTTGGCCTGACCAGTTATGCCAACGAATGAAAAAAAAAAACATAATGGAGTTAACAAAAAATAAAAACAAAATGGAGTTAACAACTTTTAAGTTAACAAAAAAAACAAAAACATAATGGAGTTAACAACTTTTAAACTCTCGTATAAGCAAGAGTGCATAACACGGAAATATAACGCAAATTACATATTTATTTTTGCTAATTTACACAGAAAGAATTAGAAAATAAAATCAAAGAACAAATTTTTTTAATCAGATTTATTTGATAAATCTAACAGTTGTTTAGTATGGAAGATGTCGATGCCTCTTGCCTCGATGTCCATAGCAATCCTAACCCTGAACCCACCCCAGTTTTCATCTCTTTTTTTCTTTAATTCTTCCATTTTTTGTTTATTTTACTTGGGCTTGACAGCTCGAACTAGTCTTTTGATGCATATTTTGCATTTTTTTAAAGAAAATTTAAACACGGTTATGTTTTCAAATTTTTGAATCTTTTAATAAATTTTAGAATACAGTATAAGTTTTGAATTTTATACAATAATCTCTTTACAAATTGTGACCTTATAAAATTGCAAACCCCTCAAAAATAAGGGGTATACAAACTTTATACGGTCAAGTTTTTGAACACTTTGAGAGATTATTGAATAAAATTTAAATTTTATCGACAAATATAGGTATAGTTAGAATATTTTATCAACTTGTTGCTTTAACATTTAGGACCGGTTAAATGTAGGTAAAATCGAAAAAGGGCTTTTTGTTCGCAAGCTCCAATCCCTTTAATTTTTAGCAAAGCATCCTTTTTTGGAAAAGTTTTAAAAATAGAAATATTTGGAGTTTGCTCAAACATCAAAATATGCTGCATCCGTCCTTGGTATATATTGTCAAATCAAAGTTACGCTCTATTCTGAGTTTGCTAGCGTTTTGAAACTTTTTTTCCCAATTATTTAAACTTTAATTCCTAAAAATATAACTATGAAGTTAAAATATAAAAATAATATAAAGGCATTTATTTAACATAATTTACATAGAGGGTTATGATTTCCATAGATAAAGAAGACTTTGGATATTTTTCTATGAACATTCAAAAAATGTCTTTTTTTGGTCAAATGCGCGGTTTTCGCTTGGTGTATTTATAAATCACATTGTTATTCATTACAATCATTATAAATTGTAATATGCACATATTATAAGAGAATGTATATAAGTCACATATATAACATTTAAAGATACTCTTTTTACTGTATTTAAAGGCCGTAAATACTGCATCACCTGCAATATTTTTTTCAATAAGTAACGGAAGGAATATAGTATTTTCAGTTCTTTCTTTTTTGTTTATAATAAAATATATTCTGGTATAATATTGTTGTAAATTATTATAAAAATACGGAGACTCAAACCGTTTAACAATACAATAAATACATAAAGAAATATTTCCAAAATAGTATTCCGTTTTACAGTTCAACAAAAATATAAGTACTTAACAGGGCCGATAAAACGGGTTTCAAAATAAGGGGAGGGGAGGGGACACAATTGTCAATTTCTAAGATAAAGTCCTCTTTATCTAAAAGTTTCTAAAAAAAAAGTCATTTAGAAAAGAGTTGGTTGGGGGGAGGGTGAAAACGTAGCACTTAGGTAGTCCTACCCTCGTATCGTTAGTCATGTTTCAGATTTAAAATTCTGCTTAACAATAGAATAAAAATATAACCAAATATTTCGAAAATTGCATTTAGGAAACACTTACAAAAGAAAATTGAGATCAATTTAACTCGAATGTATTATCTATTGAGAAAATAACTTTTTTCTAGAGTTTGGCGCATATCGGCGAATTTATGCGCATACCATTCAAATGTTATGCGCATAATTATGCGCATTATATGCATATGATGCGCATACAAATTTAACCGATAAATGGTGCCGTAACACGGGGTCAGCAATACTTTGGTCAGCAACGTTTAACTATTTAAAATAGTAAAACGTTGCTTTACTGTTTAAAAGTTACAGATATTTAATTAAAATTTTAAAAAATGGCCAAAGTAATCCCGCTTGCCAAGGTAATATAGTGTGTGATATAAAGTGTTATAGTATGTAAAATTAATTATTGTCAAATATAGAATAAAATGTTTTTTAAATTGAACGCAAGTGACTTAAAATCAAAAAGAATATTTTAAATTAAAACTAATTATTTCAAATTATTTTCATGATTACAAATTTAATATATTACAAAACTTGGCAATTTAGTTTGTTTTGGTATTACGTTTGCTCATTTATAATTTCTTCACACTCAAATTTGCTGAAAATTCGCTGTTAATTTAATTTCTAAAATGTCGTTAATTTTGTTATTTGTTTCCATCAAAACACTTTTGGTATATATGAAAACTAATTTTTTTACGCGTTTGTTTGTCAAGCGATTTCTCAATCGTGAATGAATAAATCGAAAAATTGGCCGAGTTCTTTCTGCTGTTGCTGACGAACATATCATTTCAACAATAGATTTTGCAACTTCAAAGACTGCTGGATATTTCTGACGACCAACAATATTCCAATAATTTTTTGAAAATTCTCTTTTTTCTTTTTTCTGTCAGTGTTGTCATTTCTCCAACAAACTCAATCATTTCACTTTCAACTGTCTCAGCAACTGTTTGATTTGTTTTAGAGGCTAATTCTGAAATTGAACTGATTATATCAGTCTTATCCTCACCAAAATAAAATCCTTCTGCAGTATATTTTGGTGTCAGCATATAGGCGGTTCCCATATTTGAGGTGATAAGGATTTTTAAGCGGTTCATAACCATTTCCTGAATATTTTCCTAATTTGCGAATTTCTTGTACATTTCACCAAAATAATAATACACCAAAGATAATGGAGCATCATCATTTTTAGTCTTTCAATGATGTTGGAAGGATATTCGATATCTTTCACAAGTTTTGCCAAACTATCCCAGAAAGCATTTCATTTAATTAGCATCAAAACAGTAGCCGAATTCGTTTTTGGAGCAATTTCTTTCAAAGATGCATTTTCCTTATCCGCAAGTTGAAATAAAACATACTTTGCTACACAAAGGTTGTTCATCGAATTAAAATGACTGAGCCATTAAGTCGAAACAGGCATTGTGAGTGAGCAATGAATATTAGCTGCAATTCTCATTTTCAAACTTGATAACATTTTCAGCTTCTTTGATGGTCTTTGAACTTTCAGCAGTACTCGAAATGTCCTTGACGAGAAGATTTATACCGTGTGCTACACAGCCATACGTCAAGATATGTGGAAATTTTTCTTCAATTAAATTCCTCGCAGCTTTCATTACTGAAGCGTTTTCAGTGATAATGCTTCTGAACTTTTGTGGACCGAGAGTCTTGATTACTCCGATGATAACACCAGCAACAGCTGCAGTTTTGAATATGCCCGATGTGTTGTTTGAAATATAGAAAAACGGTTTTGTATTTGGTGCCTTGATACAAAAATTCACTATATGTTCGTTACCAATATTTGTCCAACTATCATTGACAAGCGTTAAATTTTTAGATGGCTCGAGAATTTCTTTCAACTTAGTGGAGCGTTCTGCATACTTTTTATCAAGAAGCAAACCTGACGGCGTTTTTGCGCACGGTATTGATGATGCAATGGACTAAGTGTTTTATTCAATTCCTTAAAAGCTTCAGATTCAACGAAACGAAGAGATATTCCAGTACGGAAAAAGAAGTTTGCTAATTCCATATCGATTTTTTTTTTTTAATTCTTTAGGATTCATCACATTGTTGACTATTTCGTAAGTTTCAACTGAGATTATAATGTCATTGTCGAAGCTGATTAATGATTCAGCTTTTCGTTTTGCAATTAATCGTCTCCATCTTCACTAGCGTTTGGACATGATGTTTGTTTATGTGCTACGACGCAATTTTTTGCCCATTGAACTGTCTTTTGACAGGCAATGCAAGTTCCAGTTCTCTTTACTGCATCGAGATTTTGTAAATATCTATTTATTGTAAAGTTTTCCATTGTTTTTCTGTTTGCTGAAAAATGTCTACTTACACTATAAACTTTTGAGTTTTTTATTGGTTATTTTTTTGGTTTCAAAAGCACATTAATTTTAAATTTTATTAAAACTAGTAATAAAACTCGTTTTTTTTTAAACAATTCAACGGTTTTTAATGATTTGAAAGCGGAAAAAAAGTTATGCGCATAAGTATGCGCTTAAATATGCGCATAATTATGCGACTGTATGCGCACAATTTATCGGCGAATATTTGCGCATATAAATTTTTCCGAACCCTACTTTTTCAGGTTAATTTTTGAAGAAAAAAAAGTTTTATTCATTTTATATCGAAAATTTTATTTCAAAAATAAAAAAATCTTATGCAACTAAGCGCAAAGCGCAAAAAGAACGCAACGAAATACAGAATTAAATACATTACAGGGTTTCCCACTTTATTTCGATCATGTATCATTCAATTTCGACATTGTATCAGTTCATTTCGACAATGTTTCATTCAATTTCGACACCGTTGCATTTGATTTCGACTGTTTTGCATTCAATTTCGACAGCGCTAATAATACCTAAATTAATATACAAATAAAGCCGTTAGATTCTTTCTAAAGTCATTTAGATAATATAATTTTTTAGTTTGGATACAAACTAAAATCTAAACAAAAAAATTATTGTATATAAAGTATTGTACTTGCAAATACTCGCTAATAAAAATTACAAAAGTAAGTTTATTCTTCAATAACTGGTTCTCTTCTTGAACAAGGATTCATATACCTCAGTACGTGCGCAAAATAATTATTACAGTTTGTACTAGTAATATTCAATGCACCGTTTTGTATATTTTCAAGCAGTTCCTCCTCAGTCATAGACGAACATCTTCTGATAAACTGTTTCCATTCAGAAAACATATTTTCATTAAGGGGGAATATGGAGGTAAAAATATCAAAGAATACCCAGCACGTACTATTTCATTATGAACAACAGCAGTTTTATGAAAACGAACATTGTCTAAAATTAAGATAGCTCCAACAACTTCATTAACAGCTAATTGTGCTAATACTAAACGAATGAAATCTAAAAAACTTTCTGTATTAAAGGCTCTTGTTTGTGCTTCATATTTCAAAATTTCGTTTTTGTTCATTGCACAACAGACGGAAATATTTCTTAACCGTATATTGGTCACTGTTTGTGTGACCCTCTTTCCAGCTAAAGAACGTCCTCTTCTAACTTGCATTGAAAGACTAAATCCTACTTCATCAATAAAGAATATTTTATTGTCATTCATAGAAGACAAAATGTTCATGAATCTTTCTGCATAAGATGCTCTTTCATTAATAACGTCTTCCGAATTTCTTTTCTCTGGAGTATTGTGAACACGTTTCAAAGTATAATTAAAACTATCAATGCATCTTGCTATCGTAGATTGACTGACTGAAATGAATTTTTGTTCAAGAAGTTTTTGTTTAATTTCCTTAAGAGTTATTCCACAATTATCATCAATCCAATTTTTGATTAGTACCTTGGATTCTTCTGTTAATTTTTTGTTTCTAGAACCACCTTTTAACTGCCGTTCTATCGGCAAACCATTTTTATATTTTTTAATAATCGAATAGATTGTAGTTTATTTAAATCCAAGAATATTTGCAATATTTGATGGTGTGTTTCCATTTAAGTAAGATTTAATTATCCTTGAACGGTTTTCATTGTTGATTGTTTGATTCGGCATTGCTGTTTATAAATATTGAAAATGATATTTAAGCTTTTATTATAAACTCTTGTTGTATTGGAGTCAAATGCTTTTATTTACTTAATAAAAAATTATAACATTAATTTATTTTTTGATGACAATTTAATTATGCATTGTTGGGATATTTTCCAAAGCGTAGATATTTTTTTTTGGCAATTAGACATAATTTATCCGGTCAATAAAAATAATGAATATAGCAATTAAAAACTACTATTATGGTAACTTGAAATAATTAATATCCACATTGTTTATTTTACCTTTATATTTTACGTATATCCAAAAAAGTATTGAAACCATATTCATGATGTCAGTACCCACTTTAAATAATGCAGAATTAAAAAAATACCACATTAATTATTTTATTGTCCTGATTAAATTCAACCCATTATTATTTAACAAAAATTTTCATTCTAAGTATAAATACTTTAATTCAAAATAGAGTGTTTTTAAATTGTCGAAATGTGATGCAACAGTGTCGAAATTAAATGCAAAAGTGTCGAAATGTAGTGATACAATGTCGAAATTGAATGCAAAAGTGTCGAAATGTAGTGATACAATGTCGAAATTGAATGCAAAAGTGTCGAAATGTAGTGATACATTGTCGAAATGAGGTGAGAAACCCTGTATCTCATTATTTTAACAAGTTTTTTATTGCTATTTATCAAAAGGAATTTGCCAAAAAAACAAATTTCCTTTTTCGTTATTTATTTTAACAAAATACAGCTATGTATTTTTTTTTTTTTTTTATTGAGAAAGTTGAACAATTTTGCAAAACCAGAAACTTGTAACGCATTCACCAAAACTAACATTTTTAAGAAGAAAAAAAAATTATGTTTTAAATATCGGTTCTACATAAGAAAAATAAATTAACCTTTGTACTTGTCTAAATAAAAAAGGTTTTGTTTTTCTTAATTTAAAAAGATAACAATTTCTTTGATCCTTTACGTATAATTTTTAAATGTCTTTGATCGCCAATAAACTGCCCTTTAGCATTGATAATTTTAAAAGTGATTTTTATTTGCATGGTTTGGTCAAAACATAGCGTTTTTTTGAAAACAAAAAATAGCGGCATAATGCGCAAAAGGTTTTTAAAAATTAAGACGAGTTGTATATAACACTTTAAATAGATTTCATGATTTAGTTTCTCTATTTGGTAATTTGCAGATCCACGGATGTTGGGAAAACCAATATTCAAAGATCGCCGTGAAAGGTGATTTTTTAAGTTAATTAAAAGTTTTTTATGAAAGTAGCAAGTGCTTATCAATTTAAAAAAAACAAGAGCATTAAAAGACAAAGCACGAGATACAGCATTAGCACCAGAGACAATATCACAATTAGCATCGATTGTGTTATCAATTGCATAGTCTTCATCATTAATTTCATCAACATCCGTAACACAATCTTAAGTACTTTGGTTAATTATTGATTAATTAATTAAAAAATTTCTGTTACAATTTAATGCCTCAGACAAACAAATAAACTAATCAAAGAAAATAATGCAAGAATTGAAAGAGAACCCAGCAAACATTCTATAGCGGAGTTCTAGTGGACCTATATAGGCATTTTAGGTGGACTGCTGTAGATTCGCACATAAGTTACTAAGTGGACCATTAGTAGCCCCCAAAAGTGGCTAGCCAATGATTAGCTACTATTAAGATGTCAGAAACGTATCGTCTTGCCATTTATAGCGGCTGCCACTAATTGTCCATTAAGTAAGCGATAAGCAAAACTCCAACGAACCGCTAAAAAATGTCTAGATAGGTCCACTGCAAATTTAATAAAACAATGATTGTTGGGAAGCTTTGAGCTTTTTACTTGATGTTGAAACATTAAAAAAAGTTCGAGCAATGGAGAAATTAAGAAGTTAAAAAAGGCTACAAAACGTAACATAGGCTATTCAGATGTTGCAATCATAATCAAGAAAGCAGCAAAAAATATTTCGATGTAAGAAAAATGCAAAGAATATTTCCATGATTTAAAGGTTCAATATGAAATAATTTGTGCTGTTTTGCTATCAAATATGTATACAAGAACAATATCAGTGAGTTTTTCCGCACTAAAAAGTGTTGGCTTACTGGTTGTAATATTGAGTAATGGATCGTCCGAGTTTTGCTAAATTTCCCTTGCAGAGTCTATTTAAATTTTATATTAAAAAAGCCAGTTAACTTGAAGTGTGATTTAAAATCACCCTACAGAAGAGCTACAAAAGATTTTATGTTACGATATATTTAAGATATTAACTGTTAACAGTTTAAATAATAAATAATAAAATTATAAAAAAATGTTGTCAAATGATTCTTCAAATGTTTATACAAATATACCTTTTATATATATATATATATATATATATATATATATATATATATATATATATATATATATATATATATATATATATATATATATATATATATATATATATTTATATATATATACATTAACGGGATTTTACTGTATATATATGTATATATATATATATATATATATATATATATATATATATATATATATATATATATATACATATATATATAAATATATACATATATATACAGTAAAATCCCGTTAAGTTGGACTCTCAATGAACAGATAAACAGTATGCCTTTCTTTTTAAAAAGTATAAAGAGGATGTGTGATAAACAATTAAATACTTTATTATAAAGAACGAGAGATCTCTCTAAAGGTAAATGATATCAGCAAAGAGTAAAAAGAGAAGAAATATATGTGAAACAGCGGGATGTGAACCTGGGTCTACGCGGCCAAATGTCTTAACTGAATGAGCTATACGTTCATTCAACTAAATGAATAGTAATATTTATTTAATATACAATTAAGAAATTATATAAAACAGAATTTACAGAAAGAGATACGAATGCAAATAGGATTCTATATATCAGGAAAATGAATAGTAATGTGAACCTTTAGATGCTTGTAATTAATATCTGGACTCAAAAACTAGTTACTTTTAATGGAACACATTAGGCTGTAGGAGCCTCAGGGAAATTATATTCAGAAATGGTTATATTAGACTCAGAGTTAGCTAAAAATTATTACAAAATATTTAGGACAGATGTCTAGTACAAAAAGCAAAAGATTTAAAGCAAAATGATTTATATTATTTGAAAAAGTTGTTTTACGTACATTTCATCATAATTTAAGTAGAACTTAGTAAAGCAAGGGAAACGTGTTGAATTAAGCACAATGAACTCAATCTTAAAAGAATAACTAACAGAAGAGAGGTTGTCACTATTGTGAAGGTGACGAAAGATCTGTAATATAGAACATGGAGGTCAAAAAATGCTATCTTAAGTAAAAAGAGTTTGATGAACAAAAGTTACAATGGCTGCGGGATGCGAACCGGGATCTCTGCGGCGAATTATCACGTATCTAACTGATTGAACTATACAATCTTATACTCAAATTTATATCTTATTAAAATTAAAAAAACAATATTTTCTAAGATCTATACTTCGAAAAGCGTATTCAAACAGGACTCTACATACCTTTAAAATCTGCTAGAACTTTAGTAACGTGAACACTTTTAGAAATTATTGAAATAGGTATATTTTATCAGAAATATGCTTAAGCTAAAGCATATTTTTGAGCCTCTTTTTACTATTTGCTTAAGCATATTCGAACCTGTTTCAAAAATTTCATATGCTATTAAAAAAAAAACATGTATATTCCTACCCATCATTCTTATTTTTAATATACGCAATGAGTTCAAAAAACATCGTTGTATATATTTATTATGGCACGTTTCGTAAGTTGATTTCCGTTAAGAATTCTTTCGTATGTTGCGATCCGAAATACTTTCGTTTCGAAAGAAATTTTATTTTTTATTAATATTTCTAAAAATAAAACCATAAAAATTTAATAGTTATTATACTGAGTTATAAAAGTTCATTATAAACATTTTGGGATTTAAAGATGTTAATTTTTACAATTAAAATCAGTCTGGCAAACAAATTTTCTTTATAGACTTCAAAACGTCGTTTGGCGAAAATGTTTGTTTCGCAAGTGCGACTTCCGAAACCGCTACTTTCGTATGTTGCAAAATAGTTTTGTTTCGTATGTCAACTTGCGAAATGCTAAATTTCGGAAGTGGCTTTTGCGAAATGAACATCGGTGATTTTAAATGTTTTGAAACATTCGGTACGAAAAAATGTAATTCCGCGTTCTCAATCTCCTAACGAAAGAATGTTGTTTTTCCGGAATTGCACGAAATCCTCCGGTTAACAACCCTAGCATTTATTCATTTTTATATGCGCCTTTATTCTATTTTATATGCGCCTTTATTCATTCTTATATGCGTTTTACAAAAGCAATTGTAAAAAAGCAATTTAAACCAAAAAAAATCATTTAACAAAATCATTGATAAAACAATTTATAATTTCAAAGCAAATTTTTCTTATTTCCTGGTAAACGAGTTTAAAAATACTTATAAGACGAAGACTTTTTACATTCGATGATGGTTTATTTAACTTAGTATTAGTTCTTAGTTTACAGGGTTATTCATTCTTATATGCGCGTCTATTCATTTTTATATGCTTTTATTCATTCTTATATGCGCATTTATTCATTTTTATATGCGCCTTTATTCATTCTTATAGGCGCATTTATTCATTTTTATATGCGCATTTATTCCTTCTTATATGATGCGTTTTACAAAAGCAGTTGTAAAAAAGCAATTTGAACAAAAAAAATCATTTAAGCAATTTGTTTTGAAAAAACAGTTTATTTTTTCAAAACAAATTTTTCTTATTTCCAGGTAAACGAGTTTAAAATTACTTTAAACGAAGACTTTTTACATTCGATGATGGTTTATTTAATTTAGTATTAGTTCTTTGTTTTCGATGATAGTTTATTTAATTTAGTATTAGTTCTTTGTAATTTTATTATTAAATTTCTTGATTGATTAAGTTATTATTTATCTAGTTATTTGTTTTTCTAGATTTATTATTTAATTATTTAAAATTTTTACCCTATGGATGTAATAGAAAATAATCGTAAAACAAGGAAAAATGTTACAAAAGAGCACATTGAAATGCTTAAGCATTTAGTTGAAAGAAATCAATCTACAACAAGCATTTCCACTTCTCTTAATTTATCGAAGTGCACAGTTCAAAATCTTGTCGTTAAGTTAAACAGAGGAGAATTCGACGACATGACTGCATTCAAGTCGTCTTCTGATAAAAAACGAGGTGAAAGACCTATAAACGCTCAAATAAAAAATATTATCGAACTATGCGTGCAAGAAAACAATCTTTGCACGCAAGAAGCAATAAAAGAAAATCTTTCTGCAGCAGGCTTCAACATGTCTCAGCCTACTATTTCAAGAAAACTCAAACGCTCGGATTTATAAAGAAAACGTGTTGTGCATGTGCCTAAAGAACGAAATTCAACACGAATTATTAATGCACGCTATGCATTTGCAAGCGAAATTAACGGAATTTCAGATGAAAAACTTATTTATTTGGATGAAACTGGATTTAATGTGCACACTAACAGCACAAATGGTTATTCGCTAAGAGGTGCGCCAGCAATTTTACAGTCGCCTGCAAATGTGGCAAGAATGTTAGTTTAATTTGTGCTGTTTTAACAATGGGAGTGCTTGCTTATGATACAAAAACTGGAGGCTGGAATGCAGATTCATTTTGTACTTTCATAACTACAATGAGGGCACCAGCGATTAGGAATGCAAATGTGGAAGCGCCGGTGCTTGTTATAGACAGTTGTAAATTCCACTGGAGTCTTTCTGTTAGGCAAACACTAGCCTCTCATGGTATAGCTATTAAGTATCTGCCAGCTTACACGCCACAGCTTAATCCAATAGAAGAATTTTTTTCTTCTTTAAAACATACTTACAAACAGGGAGAAAGGCCTCGAAATATGGATGAGGTAATCAGGAAACTTAAAAATATTATGGATACTACAGAGTTTAATATAGTTCTATTTTACAACCATATGCGTAGTCGTATAAATCAAGCGCTGGCTTGGCAACCATTTCTTAAATAAATAACAATGAAAACAACCTAATTTATATTTTAAATATATCTATATAAAAATTTAAAAGCGTATTTATCGTTTATATTAAATTACATTAGAGATTTTATGGGTGGTTGACGCATATACAAACATAGGGATGTATAATTTGATATTAATAATAATTATAAATAAGTAAATTTAAATCGAGATAAATGAATAATTAGATAAATAATAACTTAATCAATCAAGAAATTTAATAATAAAATTACAAAGAACTAATACTAAATTAAATAAACCATTGTCGAATTTAAAAGGTCTTCGTTTTAAGTATTTTTAACCTCGTTTACCTGGAAATAAGAAAAGTTTGTTTTGAAAAAATAAACTATTTTTTCAAAACAAATTGCTTGAATGATTTTTTTTTTGTTCAAATTGCTTTTTTACAATTGCTTTTGTAAAACGCATATAAGAATGAATAAAGGCGCATATAAAAATGAATAAAGGCGCATATAAAAATGAATAAATGCGCATATAAAAATGAATAAAGGCGCATATAAAAATGAATAAATGCGCATATAAGAATGAATAAAGGCGCATATAAAAATGAATAGACGCGCATATAAGAATGAATAACCCTGTAAGAAATAAAAACTTTTTAAAACTTTTTTTCTCTTTATTTTTTGTTTTTATTTTTTTACAAATTCTAGAGATTAAAAGTATCTCGTGTAAACTGAACACAAAAAAATTTATTATGAAATTTGAAAATAATAAATAATACATCTGAAAATAATGTTTTTTATTAAAAGTAAATAAAGTCTTTTTAATGATGACCAAAATTACACTAACTTAGTTCTAACAATATAGAAAGAATAAAAAAATACTTCATTTAAACACCTTTAGCTTCTTTAATATTTTGCATACTACGTTATTTTCATATTTGCATATATCATGACATTTTTTCAATACACAAAATGTTGAACACTTTTTAACAACTTCTTGCTGGCAACGTTGATTATCACGCCATCGGCCTACCCCTCCTGGAACAATAAAAGCTCCATATCTGACTAAAGATATTATAATAAATAAAACGAAGAGTTTTGACTTTAACATTTTGTATACTCTAAAATCTGAAATCAAATTTAAATTTATTTCAATCCACTTTTTTAATGGCTTACGCAAACTCTTTTCAACATTTTTTAAGGATGGCGTTTTAAAATACCTTTACAAAAATAAAAACATTTCTTTATAGAATATACAAAGCTGTGTAAACAAGTACAAGACTTCTAGTTTTTTTAGTGCTAAACTTTTTTTATGTTACTATTTTTATGTTACTATTTTTTATTAGAGTATATAGATTCTAGCTGCACATTTTGCATTTTGCATCTCTGCAAACAAAGAATTGTTTACATAGTGCGAATCTTTGGTTAAATTGAACATATTAAATAAGTTTGAGTGGGAGAGTGTAGTTTATGAAACATATGCAATATATTATAGAAGATATATATTTAAAAAGAATAAGTTTGTTGAATATTTTTGTCATTTTTTTTATTTTTTATCTAACTTCCAGAAATGTAAGATATATTTATATGGACAAATATATACAATTGCAAATTGATTTAAACTTTTTTTAACTCACGATAAACAGTTTAATGTTTAAGGTTTTAATTAGTTTATATATTTTATAAAGATATATAATAAACATTCAACTGAAAATAACGCTTTCAAATTAAATTTGGCTGAATTTTGCTCGACAGATTGTTTCATATCTGTTTACATAATTTTTTGTGTTAAACTTGCTTAATGGTTTTAAATAAAAAGGTCTTTAAACTTTAAAGAAAATAAATTATACATCTACTATAAATAGAAGACAAGTTTTAAATATATTTAGCATATATACATTAAGGATTTTCTTTTTATTCAAATAATAATGAGGAATATGAGAGCCTATCCGCATAATTAATTAAACGGATTGCATTTTTCTGACGGTGATAAAGACTAGAAAAATAACAAAGTAATAAAATTTAACTAAATTAAATTTCAATACTTTTTGAAATTTTTGAGCAGACACATGGTATCAATATGGTGTTTCCAGATGATGTTCTCATCAACAAAAATGCCCAGGTATTTAGTAACAGAATTTCTTTTAATTTCAGATTGGTCAGTAATATATTTTTTGGTAAATTTGATGGTAGAAAACATTTTTTGAAGAGCGGGCGGAAAAGAATCCATTTTGTTTTGCTTACATTTAATGTTAACTTGTTACATTTAAACATTTTAGATATTTTTTGAAGTTCTAGTTAAACAATTTTGACACCATTTAATTACTCTTTCTTTTAACTTAAAAATTAAGTTCATAAAGAAATATATTGGCATTGACAACACCAAATGCTTTTGAAAGATCGATAAAGATTCCTAATATGAATTTAATTTTTTCAAAAAAATCAGAAATTTTACGTACTAACTAGATAATTGCATGCAAAGTTGAGTTATTTTTTTAAAAGCCAAACTGATTGATGCGTAATAGATTATTTAAAAACTAAAATAGTTAAATACTCTTACGTGAATTCTTTGAAGTATTTTTAAAAATATAGATTAGATAGAGTTAGAACGATAACTACTAATCTTAGATTTGTCACCATCTTTAAATAGTGGAATAATTTTAGCAATTTTCAATTAATCAGAAAAAACTTTTTGATTAAATGATAACCTAAAGACTTATTTATTTATTGATCAATTGATGGTTTAAAGAGTATAAATTGTTCCAAGCAATCTAAAATGTGTTATAGATTAAAGGTAGTTAGACAAGTTGGATCTGATGAAATCGTTGTTACCATTGATTTCATCATGTCCAACTCGTCTAACTACCGTCCCATTACTTTTCTTCGTATCATAAGCAAGGTTTTTAAATCTTTAATTAACAAACACTTAATCTCTCACCTTGAATTTATTAACTTATTTTCTGATCATCAATATTGATTTCGATCTTCTTGTTCTACAGCTGATTTGCTAACAGTAATAACCAACAGGTTTTATCGTGCATTAGATAGAGGTGGAGAGGCTAAGGCTATCGTTCTTGATATTTCTAAAGCCTTTGATAACGTTTGGTATGCTGGTCTTCTCTATAAGCTCTCTTTTTGTTGTGAGCCTGGTAACATCTTTAAGATTATTGAATCCTTCCTTTTTAAATGTAGTATAAATTTGTCCTCGATGGACAGCACTCTTCTTCATATCCTGTAACTTTAGGGCTTCCTTGAGGTTCAACCCTTGGCCTTTTACTCTTTTTAATTTACATTAACTATCTTCTAGATATTCTCACATCTGAGGTGGCATTGTTCGCTGATGATACTACCATTTATTCTTGTCATGATATGAAGCCAACTCTCTCTGATTGCTTGGAGGGGGCATTTTAGCTTGAAAAGATCTCACTTCTACTACAGCATGGGGCTCACAGTTGCTGGTGAACTTTAATTTAGATAAAACCTAATTTTTTCAGGAAAATTGTTATCGCAATAACTTAGATCATCTTATATTAATAAATGGTGATGTACTCGATAAGTCATCTACCCTTCATCTCTAGGATTAACTCTTACTTCTGATTTTTATTTGAAACCATAAATCAAATCCATTGCAAAATTAGAATCTGCTAAGGTTGCATCTCTTTCTCGTGCTTGCCACTTTCTTAGTCCGGATTCTATAATTTATATTGATAAATCTCAAATCCGTCCTTGTATGGAATACTGCTGCCATATCTGGGGGGATCTTCCAATGATGCCCTTACTATTTTAAACAGAGGTGGAAAAAGTAAAAAAAAAAAATGTATTCAAGTAAAAGTACTGTTACTTGAGTGAAATTTTACTCAAGTTCAAGTAAAAGTTTACTTATGTAAAAGTAAAAAGTATCGAAATGTTTACTTATGTAAAAATAAAAAGTAGCTTATAAAAAATATACTCAGAGTTAAAGTTACGACGTTACTTTTTCAGATAACAACGCTGTCGAATAAAAAAACAAAAATCACGTAGTCTATTTTTTTCTGCATAAAATTTTTTTTGCACATAAATTTATTTTTGTAGTCTTAAAAAGTGAAAAGAAACCAAGCTAAAGCAGTTAAAAGTTGTTACGAGCGCACTCAACATTTTTTTCTAAACAATTTTAAAGTGTCATTTTTATTAAAGTGAGCTAAACTCAAAAAAGCAAAAAAAATTAAATCTTAGTGTTTGTGAATTTAAACAACACAAAGTAACTTTTTTTCACTCAGTATCGCATATGATTTCAAATGTAGCAAAATACAATACTTTAGAAAAAAAATACTTAAGTAAAAGTAAAAGTGCACATTTAAAAATGTTCTTAAAAAAAAGTAGAAGTTCACGAAATAACTACTCAATTACAGTAACGTGAGTAATTGTGATTGGTTTCTTTTTCACCTCTGCTTTTAGACAATGTGCAAAAATGCATAATAAACATAGTTGGACCTGTTCTTGCAGCCAACCTCCAACCATTATCACATTGTTGTAATGTTGCTTCTCTTTCTCTTTTCTACAAATACTATAATGGGCACTGCTCTAAAGAGCTAGCGTCTCTTGTGCCATCTACTAAAATTCATTCTCGTGTTACTCGTCATTTAATTAAGTCTTATTATTTTTCTGTGACTGTTCCTAAGTAAAGATTACTAAAGATTCGCCTTCAATGGGGACGTAGTGACTTTCGGCGTCTTTTGTAAACCGGGAGCCAGCATAAACAATTTTTCAATGAGATAAGCCGCATGTTGGATTATCAACGCCAGGGCATTCACAATGCCTTTGTCTTAGTATAAAACCTATACATGATTTACTCCAATCGGTAGATAAACAAGTTTGACGATTTGTGTCAGATGCTTGTACACCTTTTATTAATTCGATTATTTTAAGCTTGGATTCTTGAAAACAATTTTCAAGGTTTTGGTCCCAATAAATTTTATCTTTCTTGCTTAAGAGGGTACGGAATGGAGTCATTATTGGTGCCTGAGAAAAGGCGTATGGTGAATTTAAATTTTTCAGGATTAAAAACTATTCCGTTGTCTGAGCATAATTTAATATACGACATAGTATGCCAAAATGAGGATTTAATGTCGTTATCCCAAAGTAGAGAATCATCAATACATCTGACAACTCGTGGGAAATTCTGGGTTAAATCGTAAAACGTTTAGTGTATCCATCGTTTGATTCATGGAATCTTTGTGGTGCTCTTAAATATCGATAGCGCCCCCATTCTGTAATAAAGGTTGTGGCTTTTTTAACACTGTGTGAGAGAGGTACACTATGATATCCATTCCAAGCGTCAATGATAGTCTTCTTTTTACCCATTGGGATTTGATTAATAAGATTAAATGGCGAACTAGTTTGATGCGTTTCTATCAATATCGTGTCGTTTAAATGTTGAAGGTCAACAGTTCTTCGAGATGAACCGTCATTCTTTGGTACAATATCCATTCTGGAACATCATTCCATAGGGGTTCCTTGTGGTAATGGTTCAATAATACCGAGTGCTACGTCGTCGTCGAGTTTCTTTTTTACCTCGTTTCGCCAATGATGTGGTATTAATATTGGCTTATGTACTGCCCTTGGAATGACCCCATTGTTTAATGTAATTTTTAATGGTCTTCCTGTCATTGATTTTGGTTTTTGGTGTGTGCTGTTGTTTTTATCCAGATTTCGATTGCGATTTTCTATTGTAGCGACGATTGGCATCACTCTGGGCAATGGTGGACTTGTAGTTCTAGTAAAACAGCCGCATTTAGCTAATGCATTTTTGTTTGTATTGGTTTCTTTTTGATTACGTAATTTACTGATGTTTGTATTTGTAATGGGATTAGAAAAATTGATTAGAATGATGGATAGATATACTAATTATACATATGCGACGTTGTCGCATATGTATAATAGTTGTGTTGTTGACACAATTTTATTTGATATTTTTACTATTAAAATACCTTTTACTTTGAGACTGTCATCGGTGATACCCCGGATTTTGTGTCTTGATTTAATTAAATACTGCTCTGGTATTGACTATTTTTTTAATATGTCTGAGCCAGCAGTGCATGTTTGGGCACCAGTATCGGCTATAGCTATCATTGCTGTATATGGTAATTTTATTTGTTTTATGAAGTTATTTGATGAAGGTTTATTTTTTTATGTTCCATTAGGTCTATTTTGGGTG